GGTAGGTCTCTGAAGCTCAACCACCTCCTTTCTCAGGATGTGCTGTGGCCCCTGCAGACCGTCCCACAGTGCCGTGAAAGGCTGCAGGACCTGTATTCCCTGGGAGTGTCTCAAGCAGCAACGGATCACACATTTGTGCCATAACTGTTATTTCCCTGTTAGAAGACGCACAAGCTGACACTCCTGAGCCACCCTCCGTACACTTGTGTGTTAGTCACAGGGCGTTATTGGCAAGTATTAGAAAGTGAAAATCTTCAGAAGGCTCCTGGGGAGCTCACAGAAATTCGAGAAATGAATATTTGGCCTCAAAAGGGCTGGGGGGCCAGGGATCGGGGCTAACTGCTGGGGCAAAGAAACAACGGTCATTTTTCTTCTTTGCCTGGCTCCACTCAAGGTTCCTGGTCCCAGGAGAGGGGCCGGATGATGGGCCACCAGATTAGAGGAGGGCAGCTCCATCAGGCCTACACCCTGGGGGGCAGGAGGAGGTGGTTCTCCAATGCCAACAAGGGAGCTGTTAAGGAAGAGGAAGTGGGTGCTGGGAGGCCCCCAAACCTCAAATGTCCACCAGAGACCAACTCTTTGCGCGGTCTGTACAGAAGCAAGCACAGCAGGGGCTCTGGCATCACAGGCTCCGGGTCTGTCCTAGAAGCAGAGCAGAAGTCTGGGTGACCAGGGATTTGGGGAGAAGGTTGGGGCCCGGCACCTGCATAGCTCCAGGGAGGTGCCGCCCTTCTGTGCCATGTTCCTTGTGTGAGGTCTGACAGCTCCGCCTGAGAGGTCTGGACCAACTAAAAATACCCTGGCTCCAGGGAATCAGCAGAAAGAGGTCTTCCAAAGCCAGCCAAGGTCCTCAATGTATGTAGGAAACTATTAATCACACCCTGCGATTCTTCTTGGTATGAGTTGTCTTTACACTTTAAAAATAAATAAATGTGAACTGAGGCCCTTTAATCATCCATGTCGGAAGCGGTTGGTAAGCTCCGCGGTCCATGCCCCCCCCCAGGGTAGGGTGCCCTGCTTCCTGGGAAAACAGGAATTTCTCATCAGATCAACAGGAAATTCTATTCTTATTGATGTTAGAATTAAAAATACCACAGGGAGAGAGGGACACTCTCCTACCCACGTGGGGCATTAGATATACCCCCTCCCCCCACAACCAAGGCGCTCCCCTCCAAAACTGTTGCTCCTGGCACTCAGTCCCGGGTTTGCGCCCTCCGAAACTGGCCCTGACAGCCTGGTGAGACAAGGAGCTGTGACCTCCTGACCAGGTTTTTTCTCCGATCCCAGGCAGCGGTGTTGTGGCCGTGAGGTCACCCATGACCGTGCAGGTCACGGTCAGGCTCCAGGAGCTCCCACAGAGACACTCAGGCTCCAGCTGGCTACACTCCAAAGCCGCCTCAGAGGTCCTGGCCAAGAGTGGCCCTTCAGTCAGAGGACCCGTTTCCCCCCAGTAGTTAGGAGAATGGCATTGATGGGCTGTGAGAAACCAGCCTCGAGAAGATCAGGGAAGGAAAGCCAACATTTCTTGAGGCCTGACTGTATGCCAGGGACGTACTGGTGGGTGCTGGCAGGGCTGGGCCTTTCAATCTGTCCAGCAGCCATCCAGAGAAAGTAGCGTCAGCATCTTCCCCACTTTACAGAGGAAAGAGCAGACACTCACAGAGGTTCTCGGGAATTGGAACCTGGCTCGACGTGATTCCGGAAGATGCCCTTTTCTCTTTACCCCCAATACTTTGTTCAACACCTTGCTGCAGGTCCGAAGCAAAGTCCGTGGACCCAGTGGCCACTTGTGTGGGCGCTGCCTGCTGGCTGGCTTGCAGCCCTGCAGGACTCCTTTCTTCTGGAAGGAGCGTCGGTCTGTTTTGCAGGGTGGATGCCTTTGCTGGGCTTTTGCTGTAGCCCAAGGAACTACCTCATGCCGGGGGCGGTGAGAAACTCCATCAACGGTGGCTTGCTCCAACTTGAAAGTCATGGGACTCCTTCTTGTAACCCTGCTAATGTACCCTTAGCCTTTGGTCTGGGATTTGTAGAAACCAACATCTTATTTGCTTGCTGAGTGGCATTTTTGGTTTGTTCTGGTTTGGTTTATTTTTTAGCGGCAGAAAGAATGCTACGGAACACCTAGGCTTTAGCTCTGCCCCTGAAGCTGGGATCTTGATGGAATTCACTTCTCTTCTTGGGGCCTGAGTCTCCCCATCTGTGGTAATAAGAGGCTTGACTAGGACCCGTGTTCTCAATCCAGAGGCCACGAGTCACACGGGAGCACCCTAAACGTGACTCGTCTAAACTGTGACGTGCTGCAAACGCGAAATACACCCTGGATTTCGAAGATAACCCCCGGAAAGAATGTCAGCTTTTTATGAATCATAATTATATTGATTACACGTGGAAATGATAATAGTTCAGGTATAATGGGTTAAATAAAATAGATTGTTAAAATTAATTTCACTGCCTGTTTCTTTGTACTAATATGGCTATTAGAACATTAGAAATATACATGTGATCGGGACTATGTTTCTCACAGACAGGTTGAACTAGACCTTCTGGGTTCCTTTCCAGTTGCGGTCTGCTCAGGTAACTTGTCCAGGGCTAGGTGACTGGGGAGCTTAACAGAGGCTGTTGAGGCTGCAGGGACCCCTTCCTTTGCTGCTCCTCTGTCATTGCTCTGATGTCCTCCATGGTGCTGGCCCGTGGTGGTGTCCTTGTGAACTGGTGTCTGTGGCAAAATGTTTGCCCCGACAGGCCCTGCACCAGCTCATGGCCTGTGCTCTCTGCCCCCCAGTAAGAAGAAGAGGTCACGTGTACTCTGAGATCCTTCCTGCTCCAGGTTAACCACCCCCTCAGCCAGGCAGGTGGCTAATGGCTAAGGGGCAGCCTCAATTTTTGCTACGATGTCCAGGAGTAAGAGATAGTCTGCCACATTTTAGAACCTTGATAGCTGTCTTAACTTCTAAAGAGTTGGTTTTTGGGGCACCTGGCTCAGTCAGTTATGTGTCTGCCATCGGCTCAGGTCATGATCCCGAGGTCCTGGGATGGAGCCCTACGTTGGGCTCCCTGCTCAGTGGGGAGCCTCCTCCCCCTCAACTGGCCTCTGACCCTGCCCCCGCAACTCATCCTCTCTCTCTGTCAAATAAATAAATACAGTCTTAAAAAAATAAAAATAATTGGTTCTTTTCACAGAGGCAGCCTAAAGAAAGATCAAAAGACAAAGAAAAAGGAACTAAGAGCTAGTCCTAGACAGAAACCCAATGACCAGGTGAAAAGGCTGAAAGCTGTTAGGATACTCAAGCATAGGGGTGTGAGGAGAAAACGAAAGCAGCGCACCCAGGACAAAGCAAGCCCACGCCTCTCATTGTAGACTGCACCTGTTGCCAAGAGCCCGTACTTCTGTGGCATCAGCTAGGGTCTGTGAGTGTTAATTCAATGAGGGGGCAGCTAAAGGCAGGGTCTGGTAGATGAGACTCAAGCATACCCTCCTCCCTGTGGGCAACCGTATGAGGACCCAGGAGATGCGAAGGGAGATGCGAGAGTGGGTCAGCGCACCTGGCCGGCCTTTGCCCCACCTGAAGAACGCAGTGTTGGTCGTTCCCTCGGGAAAGCTAGGATATGCCGGAGACCACTAGGGATCATCAGCACATGATAAGTGCCTCCTCTGTAGGAGGCATCATAACGAACCCTGTGGGGGCAGGTCATGCATACAGACAGGCACGGAGCAAGACAGCCTTAGCGGGATTTTTGTCCCATACTATCATTCTAGAAGAGGAGAAACGGAGGCCTTTGGCCAGGAGTGACTTACCTAGGATCGCGTAGCTAAGTCGGGGGGTGGGGTGGAGGCAGGGGCTGGGATCCCAGACCGCTGTTTTAGGTTCTTGTCTCAAGGAGCCTACAGGATGGTGTCCTGAGAGAAGTATTGGACCGGATGTGAGGGGGACTTGGTGCTAGATCTGAGCCACTACTAATGATGTGACCTTGGGCAGGTCATTTTACTTCCTTCAACCCTTCGCTTCCTTACCTGTGAAGCAGAGGATGGAACCAGATGGCCTGTTAGGTCTCATGTTATAACGATCAGGACAAACTAGATTGATAACGAACAACCTCCAAATGTCAGTGGCTTAGGAAGAAGGTTTATTTCTCGCTCACATTATATGATCGTGGCAGGTCAGCAGGGACACAGACTGATGGAGGCTCCACCTTGACACATGTTTCATGGGGAAAAAAATGTGGCAAGTACACACTGGCTTTTAAAGCTTCTTGCCAAAATTGGCACATATCACTTTCACTTATATTTTGTCCTCCAGAGCCAGTCTCAGGGTCATCCACCATATGCCAGGAGAGGAGACTGGAAATATTGAAAAGCAGTCCTGCCACCCTTACTTTGTGACAAAACAATAGAGCTGTGTGGGACAGGTGGAATGGGAGCACCTCCCCCTGTGGACTTGATGGGAAGGCTTCCTGGAAGAGGCTGTACTCTGGGAGGCAGAGTGTGGAGAGCTTCAAATCTAGAGTGTGTGGCAAAGGGCACAAAGAATGCTAACTTAATGGGGATCTGCCTGGTTTGGCTGAAGGGTGGGTACACCAGGCGGGAATAACCAGAGAGAAATTCGAGACCAGATCACTCAGGGCTTGGAGTGCCAGGAGGAGGGGTGTGTGCCTTATCTGCTAAGGCTCTGAAAGTTCTGAGCAGGTCTGTGAACTTATGAAGCAGTGTGGGGATGGCAGTAGCAGCCCCAGGCAGTGGGGGTAAGGATGGCATCAGGGTTGGGGAGACCAGGTAGGAGGCCACGGATATTCTTGGGGCTGGAGGTGATAAGGGGGTGACAGTTGATGGTGTAAAGGGAGGAATAAAAATATGCAGGAGGTTTTGATTTCATACGACTGGAAGGAAGGTGGCGTCTGCAGAAAGAAGGAAGTCAGGATGGGGAGCTGGTCTGGAGTGAGGGAGGTGGGGAGCTGTGCTAAGTTCTAGAGATAAACCAGGAGGTCTCTCTTCTCTTCTTCAGGGAAGGCAGAAGGCAAGGGAGCATGCGGAGAGCCCTAGACGGTTGTCAGGTGTGTCAGTGGGCTGGAGCCAACCTCCTGGGTGTGAAATTTCAAGCCAGTATTCCCAGGACCCCCAGAGAGGATCCTCTAGCCCTCCAGCCTGTGTCGTCTGATCATGTGCAGATGCCCCAAAGGGCACCCGGGGCTTTCCTGAGAGGGGACAGGGGTAACCCGAGGGCTTTCAGGGGTCCCTCCTGAACTCTAAAGTGAGAATCAGGCCAAGGGCACGGACGGTACTCCTGCCTGGTCTGGAGTCCTGGTCAAAGGCATGGGCAAAGTCCAGGGCCAAGCCCAGGGGAGGTCCATGTGTCAGAGGTCCGGCTCATTCCTGACTCATCATTCTGTGCCTTTTGTCCAGATCTCAACTTGCTGCTTTTAAAGCAATTGTCCTGAGTTAATCTAGAAAAGATATTGACACACCCTCTAAACCCCTGCTGTTCATGATCATCCAAGACTCTGAGTATGATTATTTAAAGTAATAATGAAAAGCAAAACAGGAAATTCTTATCCGTTTTGGCAGGAAATTCTTTAGCTGCGTGGAAGGTGCTGTGCTGGGGGTTTGTGCCCTCCAGGAACTGTTTGGAAATGATTTATGGTTCAAGATGGCGCCAGTCCTTCCTCAGCCCACCGCAGTAGACAAGGGAGGGGTAAGCTGGACCCTGGGAAGCAGGGCCTGTATTATCTCGGAATGTGCATTTCTGTTGATAACATGTTCATTGTCTCCACTAATAAGTTATGGTCCTGTTTTCATCTTGCCCCCAGAATGGGAAGTGCCAAATTTAGGCAAAATAAAGATGTTCCATTTCAAATTTGAAAAGTTTAATTCCTTAGTATGTATTATTTTATGAGGAATCTGAGATAATATGACTTAGGGGGGAAGGTTTACCTTTATTGGGGACATATGAGTTCCACATTTTGTGACAGACCCTTTGTCAGGTTATCTTCTCTAACTATGGGGATTATTTTCCCCATCTCACAGATGTGAAAACTGAGGTTCACTGAGATGAAGTAATCTGGTCTAAGTCACTTAAGTAGGAAAGCTTGGAATGAGAAGAATAATGTTTTCAGTAGACTCTGAATTACCTGAAGGCCCAGGCCAGGTCGGCTGTGCTCAACACTGTGTCCACAGCACCTGGCACCGTGCCTGGAATATAGTAGCTTCCAGTCCCCAAAATGGTTCTTGAATGGAAGAATTAAGGTGTGAGGGGAATGGGGAGGCTGATTATCTTAGTTTTGCTGTGACATCCTATGTCTAGGCTCCCTCATTCTGTTCCCATAAAATCTTTTGATTATGTCTATGGCACCAAAGAAAACACATCTCATTAAAATTTTGAAGGATTGTTGGTGTTTACCAAGGGCTAGCTAGTGTTATGGCCTGACCTGAGTCCCTTCCAAAATTCATATGTTGAAGTAACCTCAGAATATGACTGTATTGGGAGATATGGTTTCAAGGAGGTAATTAAGGTTAGATGAGATCATTAGTGTGAGTCCTAATTCAGTGTGACTGGTGTCCTTATAAAAAGAAGCAATCAGGACGCAGAGACACACAGAGGAAAGATCATATAGAGATGTATGGAGAAGATAAGCCAAGGAGAAAGATCTCAGAAGAAACTGTGCCCCCTTGATCTTGGGCTTGTAGCCTCTAGGACTCTGAGGATAGAAATTTCTGTTGTTTAGGCCACCCAGTCTGTGAGCAGTCCATTATGGCAGCCCCAGCAAATGAATCCAGCTGGTGTCTCTCAAAGACCCTCAGCTCTCCCATCCCCGCCCCCCCCGTTGTCTAGACAATGCATTGCTTAAGGTCAGAAGATCTACTTTCCAGTAGCTGGGCTGTCATGAACTGGCAGGTTCCACTCTCTCAGCCGATTTCTTCATCCATGTTTGTTTGGCTGGCAGAGGTTTTGTTTTTAACTGATTTTTTAAATGTCTCCCTTTTAAAGGACACACATTCTCCAGCTCTCCACTAGCCGGTATACCTATGGTCTTATTCCTGTCTGCTTTACCCATCTACATTCAAGTCTGCACCACTTCTGGCTCTAACAGCCTCTGCTGTGGGATTCTAGGATGCTTTAGCACACAGCTTACCCTGTGCTTGGCCTCATGCCCGGGAGGCTTCTCACGGCCAGGGCGGGGCCCAGTCCCACGAGGCCTCCTCTGTGGCCAGGGCTTGGCACCGGTCATCCTGCCACCTTGTCAGTTTTCACACCTCTGAGTTAATTTAAATTTCCACCTTCATGAATTTGGGACTACTCACCGTTGTTTTTATACCTACGCTGGCACTGACTGGTATTTAGGTTCTCCGCAGGTCTGACTGACCTCAGCAATTCCATATTGATCCATTCATTTATTCATCCATTCAGTAAATGTTTATTGCTGGTTTTCCAGTATGTCTATTTAACTTGAGTATTACCTTCTGTGCTGTTAGCTTATTTATGGCACGTCTAAGAATTTACAGTTCTTTATAGTGTGTATAAGAATTTTATCCCTCTAATTCAATTAGGCTGACCCTGGGAGGTGGGCATTATATACCCATTTTACAGATGTGGGAATGGAGGCTTAGAGATCTTGAATTACTTAACCAAAGTCTGATGTGGCTAATACCCAGAGCCACAGCTATCCCCTGATCTTCTGGTCCATCTTTTCAAGACTCCTGTTTGCTTCTAACTCCTGCCAGATATAAAGGGGAGAGCTTTTTCAGCTTTGGAGAAGTTCCTAAATCCTAAGAGAATATGCCCTAGAAAGGAATTGTGTGCCTAAACCCTGCTCCTGTGAAGCCACTATTGAAACAAGTGGGCCCAGGAATGGGGAGGCTGGGGTATGAGACAGTGTCAGAGGGGGATTTGAGGATGTGGGCCAGGTGGGAGGGGGAAGAAAGGGGACATTCTAGCAAGCCCACACACCTGCTGCAGGCCTGAGTGCTTCTCACCCATGCAGCATTTGGGAGAGGCCTGGCCTGGGGCCTCAGCTCTCGGGAGCTGGATCTGTCAGGAGCTGAGGACTTAACAGTGAAAGCTTGACTTGGAGATGGAGAGCAGAGAGCTGGAAGGTCAGTGACCAGAAAGCTCTAGATAGCAGAGGGAGCTAAGCAAGAGCATGAAATGAGGACTAGCATGGAGACCGAGACTTTAGCTCTGCACCAAACTCACTGAGCAGCTGAGAATGTGTTTCTATAATCTGCAAACCCAGGTATTCTTTGCGTACCAAGATACTTCTCGGTAGCATAAAAATTGGTATATAGACAGAATTCATTCTCCTTTTCCAGTTAGCCTTTCTACCTCTTTCAGGATCTCTCTCTATCCCCACATTGTCTATTTGCATGTTGTAGGATGGCCGACCTGTTCGGGTTTGCCTGGGATCTTACCGGTTTTAGCACTGAAAGTCCCAAATCCCAGGAAACCCCTCAGTTCTGGACAAACCAGGATGGTAGGTCACCCTAAAGATCTTTCCCTCCACTGACTCCTTCCTAACCTGTGGACAGGCCCATGACTCCTCTTCATTAAACAATTCTGCTTCCCCTTAAGCTCCTAGTCCACTCTCTTTCATCTATGGATTGCTAGACTTCTTCTACTTGGGGTCCATCTCGCTATGTCTCCTCACCTTCCAGACAACTCCTGAACCTTCCCTATCAAACTTTACCAGCCCTCATTCTTGATAACCACTGGGTTCTGGGATCCCATGTTCTCCCTCTAGCTGTGAAGCAGCTGCCTCTCTGTCTCAGGTCTAGGGCATGAGTGCTACCTCTGCTCTATCTCTCTGCCCATTTGCAACAGCCCTCAAGGCTCAGGTCTTGGACTGTGTCCTTACTGATTTGCACAGATGCCTACAAGAGTCAGGCAGGAAAGACAGTCCATTAGACCGACTGAGTAAGGATGGGAAGAACCAGAAACTATGGGCTCCATTTAGAGAGGTTTTTATTTTGCAGGTTTTCATGACAGTTGGCTACCCTTGGTTTAAGTGCACGACTTTTGAATTTCAGCTGCTACATGAAGTAAGGAGGAGGCTTTATCATCCAATCTGGGACTGGAATATTCCCACCCAAAGGCATAGAAGGAGATCTGGATATATCTTTGGCAAGAATTCTGAGAGTGTTTGGAAATACCCTGTTCTTGACTTGGGAGAAGAATTCTCCTCCTTACAGTGGCGTGAGAAGTCTCTCTCTTCACCTGCCTTTGCACCTCCCCCCAGCCCCCCTGGCCAGTAATCAAGTCCCTAATCACAAGGCTCTCACAGTGCAGTCAGGACCCTGATAGGGACAGGAGAGAACCAGCTAGTCAAATCCGGGGAGCTCTGTTCAATTCTCCTAGCTGATGAAGGCCTTTTCACTCATCATGGGCTCATTCATTTTTCCACTGGAATTCAGGGGCAGAGCGTGGCCCTCTAGTGAGCGACGTTGGTCAGAAACTAATGAGCAGGTAGATCACAAGAAATCACAGACGAGAACAAGGTCAACAGCTTCAATGGTTAAGCTATTTTTAGTACCCGTGTTACAAGTCTAGGAAGGACTTTGAGGAATAATTTGCCTATTCTTCTTGTCTCTAGTGGAGCTGTATGTAAATAATCTCCGATTTTCTATATTCTAATTCTTATTTCCATGAAGAGTTTGTGCCCTTTGCTTCTTTAAAAAACAACCCCCCCAAAAACTCCTTCATTCCTCTACTAGGAATTTTTTGTGTGTTTTAAAAAAACTATACAGTTGGATATAAAAGAGGTGGAAGGTATATTTTTTATCCTTGAGAAGTCTCCAATTACAGATGAGAAGATAAGGTATATATAAGATTAATAGCTCTTTTTTTTAAAAATTTTATTTATTTATTTGACAGACACAGCGAGAGCAGGAACACAAGCAGGGGGAGTGTGAGAGGGAGAAGCAGGCTTCCCGCTGAGCAGGGAGCCCGATGTGGGGCTCGACCCCAGGACCCTGGGATCATGACCTGAGCCGAAGGCAGACACTTAATGACTGAGCCACCCAGGCGCCCAAGATTAACAGCTCTTGAAAAGACTTCTTGCTGCTCCTCCTGGCCCTGCCACGTCATGGATGTCAACCTTGGGCAAGTAACTCTGATGTCTCATCTGCGACTTACTCTTTAAGTATCTCTCCTGTCATAACAGAGATCACATTACAGGGTTGTTCTGGGGTCCAGATGAAATGCATGTAAGCAGCCCAGCCCGTATACAGTATGGATTAACAAATGTTAGTGATCATTAATAACTTGAATTCTTACAGAAGTTCTGGTGATAGAAGCATTGTTACCTTTATTTTACAGGTGAAGAACACTGATACTTAGTTGCTCATGGCAACTAGTTGCTCATGGTGGATTTGGGCTTCCAGCTTGGGCTTCTGACTTCCTAGAATCAGCATTTACACACTATTAAGGTGCAGAGTAATAGTGCCAACCCCCCCCCCCCCCCCCACATAACACCAAGAGCTTCTAGAGAGTAAAATAGAAGGCTTTAGTGCTCAAGGAGGTGAATTTCACAACTGGTCTGAAAGTGAGTGATGGTTATAGATGTTGAGGTTCCATAGGTTTCGGGGTGTCTGGTGGGCGTAGGGGAGTCTCCATGAAGAAAGGAAGCTGCCAACATCAGGCACATGCCTGCCTTCCAAGATTTGTCCTTGTCACCATTTGCCTGCCTCAATTGCAGAGGACAGAAGAGGCATGAGCTTTGAGTGTGGGAGAGCTGGAGATCTCTCCTCCAGTGGCCCAAACCTCAGGCTCCCAGGGCTGTCGTGTGACCCGCACAGCCATGCGGGCTGGATTCTTCTCTGACTGCAGCCCTCCGGGGACTGCATTCACTGGGCCTGGGCCAGTTTGTCCGGCACCGAACACCAGTGGATTGCCCCGCTTAGTCCAGGTGGTTTGGGAAGAATAACAGGAATAGGAAACCCAAGCCTATCTTCCGGTACCTTGTGGTCCACTTGGCAGGCAAAACAAAGACACTTGAAACCCTTAAGAAGCCGCTCAGTCTTTTGTGATGAGATGCTGACTTTGTGGGTGCTCTCAAGTTCAGGGAAAGGAGAGTTACCGTGGACTTGTGACCAGGGCTGGAAAGTGGGAAAAGTGGAGACAGCCAGAGTGGGCTCGTCCCCTGGCCACTTTCTGTGGAGGCACGTTGGCAGCCAGTGTGGGGAGGACAGGGTCTAGCGCCACACTGAGGGGAGAGGGAGAGGGCAATTGTCCATTGCCGACAGGGTCCGGTTTTATTCTCATGCCAACCCTGTGACTGTGGGTTTAATTATCTGTGGTTTACAGATGTGGTTCAAAGACGGGTTCAATTATCTGTCCAGATGATATGCTACAGAGGCACTGCTGATGGGCTTGGTGGCCTTGAGAGGTGACTGTTTCATCACATGTAAACATTGTCCTGGATCTGCAGATTGCTCAGCTGGAGGCACTTTTCAGTGTTGTCTTTCCAAAGCTGGAATTACTTAATAGAAACAGGGCAGGAAGGTTCTGGTATGGCATTTTGCAAAGTTGTTCCCAAGGACTCTCCAAAATTGTTGTACCACTAGAGAAGCAGGATGAGAGGAATTAACAACACACACACACACACACACACACACACACACACACACACACAAATACACACACAACACAAATACACACACAAGGCAGACACACAGACGCACAGACTCTCACACACCCACAAATACACACACACACACACACGGATGCTGAAGCCCTGTAGACGCTGCAGTGCTCCCAATACATACTTTGCCAAAAATGTTGGATTAGGGCCAGAAACTACAATAACTGAAATAACTTTGGAAGAAACCCCTGGGGGCAGTGGGAAGAGCAGGGGAAGGGCATGAGAAGGGATTATCTGACCCTTCATGCTTGTTTAATGCTCACAGAGAAAGGGAGCAGACTGAAATTAATCACCCCCCTTCCACCCCAAATCTGCTCTTTTTATTGAAAAAAAACCGACTGTGGTTTGAGACACATGAATGATACATTTGGTTTTCAAAGGAAATTTTATTTTTGTATTGGAAGAAATGTAGAGGTTTTTTTTTTTTTTTAAAAAACTTATCTAGAGAGTTGCATTTCCTGAGCTGTAAAGAAAAAAAAAATTCCTTCCCTTCTTGAAACTTATCTCCTTTTCTTTCAACAATAAGTCATCTTGGGTTCTTTTTTTTTTCCATGCCTAGATCAAATGAGACCAACAACGAAGGGAAGTGATGGGACAAGCTGATCTCAATGCTCAGCCACAGGGGAAGGCGGGCCCTCTAAGAACTGAAGTGGGTGCCAAGAAGGGGATCTGGGCACAAGGGGACCCCTGTGTGCCCCAGATTAGCTGCCCTTGTAAAGATGAGGACATTGCACATAATTAAACGAGTATCTATTTACATCTTCTTTCTTTTCTAGACCCAAATTCCTCCAACTCAAAACTCAATCCCTCACAATACTTACCAGCCATGGATTTTATTTTGCTTAAGTGAGAAGGGGACGAAAGAGCCAGGGAACCCAGCCGGCTGAGCCCCAAGCTCATGCCCACAGCACCCCCATCATCGCTGTGTACAGATGCTGAGCTCCACATGCACAGGGAAGGCCTGATTTCTTTCTTCCTTTTTTAAACTTAATAAACTTTATTTTCAGAGCAGTTTTAGGTTCACAGAGAAACTGAGCAGAAAGTGAAGAGAGGGGCCCCCTGGGTGGCTCAGTCGATTAAGCATCTGCCTTCGGCTCAGGTCATGATCTCAGGGTCCTGGGATCGAGCCCCACGTCGGGCTCCCTGCTCGGCAGGAGCCTGCTTCTCCCTCTTCCACTCCCCCTGCTTGTGTTCTCTCTCTCTCTCTGTGTCAAATAAAAAAATAAATAAAATCTTAAAAAAGAAAAAGTGCAGAGAGTCCCATATTCCCTGTCCCCACACAGGCAGCCCACACAGCAGGGGTCCATTGTTATGCTGGAGGAGCCTAGAGAACACATCATTATCATGTGAAGCCCACAGTTTACAGTAGGGGCCCCTCTCAGTGTGATATACTCTATGGGTTTTGACAAATGTGTGTTGACCCTACTTCCTTTCCTGATGCAGTTCTGTGTGCATATTTATAAGGCAAAGTATAGTAACTAGAGAGTGATTCTGAGAAGATACTGGATCCTGAAGAAATGGGTCCTGACATGTGGGTGGCCAGGGACAGTTGTAAGGAGATAGAACTTGGCGGGTGTCTGGGGCTGGGGGACAGGATGGTTTCCGAGGGCCCATTCAGCTCCAAGACCCGCGCTTCTCTAACTTGGCCGTCCACTCTGAGGAACACACCTGTGAAGCCGTAACCCGTGGGGGTGCTTCTTCCCCATTCTGCCCACTCCTGCCGATGGGGCTTTAACGTAAGGATCAGTCAGGATTCATGGTGTCCGGGCTTCTATTTGTTTGATAATGTCTCAAGAGGATTGTTTGTCTCCACACTTTTCAAAGATTGATGAAATGAGTGAGGACATGGAATAAGACTTGTATGGCTTATTAAACTTAATTAACTATACATATATAATTACATATATAAAATATAATTATGTATATAATAGCCAGATATAATGTACAGTATGGCTCTGGGATTAAATTCGATTCCTCTTCACTGAGGACCTGGGGGCATGTTAGCCTAGGACGAATGTGCCCCAGTTCCGCATGTCAGGGGCAGTGAAGACATTGCTGAGTGATCTGAGCAGCCACACTGGGACTCAGGTCCTCCCATCGGTGTCCTCACAGCTGCTACCAATCCGTGGCCACTGGATGTGGAAAGCAGCTGAGGGGGTTCTGATCCCCATCAGATCTTTTGTTATACCAGTTCTTTGTCATCCACTGATCTTTCATAGCCTACGAGTCTGGAATTAAAAAAAAAAAACAAACAAAAACCCAACTCATCACCAGGGCTTTTATACCAAATGTGGAAACATTTCAGTCTCTGTATGCAGTTGTCTGGGTTGCTGCTAAAGGACAACGTCTTCCTCAGCTTCATTCCTCAGGAAGCCTCCTTCCCGCTAATGCTTACTTCTTCTTCTTTTTTTCTTTTTTTTTTTTAGAGAGGGAGCGGGGAGGGGTAAAGGAGGGGGAGAGAGAGGATCCCACGCAGACGACAGGCCCAGCACAGGGCCTGACACGGGGCTCGATCTCACGACCCTGAGATCATGACCTGCGCAGAAATCAAGAGTCAGACGCTAAACCGACTGCGCCACCCAGGCGCCCCTCCAATGCTTACGGGCTGAGAAGCCCAGGCTGGAGCCACAGCCCAGGAAAGAATGCTCTCTCCCTCAGCTATCACTCTCTGTCTCTCTCCGAGCTGTGGCACGTCCCAGAATGCCAGGGACTTTCTTTTGGTAAGAATAGCAGAAATGACAGATTGAGAGTGATTAGTACAATGGCCTCATTCTGCACAGAATAAGGGTTTTGTGGTCCTTCTTATCCTTCACTATGAAACAGCCTTCTGGCTGGAGCTGCCTGAGGTGTGCCTCTGGGACCATTTTTGCCTTTTCCCCTGTGTTCCATGGCTCCAGCTTCTCCCAGTAATTCACAGTGGCCTGCCACCTAGGGTGTGGTGCCACGTGGCACTTTTTCCTGGTAAGGCCACGACTCCTGCTTGTGTGGTCAACGGTCCAGTCCCCATGAGGCCGTCCTCTGATTGGCTTTATCACGGAGGCGTTGGCTGCTTGATGGGATGCCAGCCGGGATTTCCTGAGCGGCTCCTACTTGCCAGGACCCCTGCTGGAGGTGGGCTGCCCAGGAAGCTGGCTCTAAGCTGGAGGCTGGCATGTGGGAAGGGTGTTAGTGCTCTTGGGCTCAGCACTGGGGAAGGGGAAGGGAGGGAGGCAAGTGGGCGGAGGGAGTGGTCAGGCTGCCGTGTGGTCATGGGGGCTCAGCTCCCCCGC